CTTAGTTTTAGTTAATTTTAGTTATTGTGATAAATTCATGTATTTTTGTAAGATTATGCATGATGATGTGAGAACATCATATAAGATATTGAATTACACGTTTTGACATTAAAAACAATTGTCTTTTGTTACTACAAATTGTTTTAGGTATTTTGCTGAATATTTATGAACTATGAATGCTAACAATGGTTTCTCTTAACTCTAATAGTTTTGTGTTTGGTCTTTACTTATTAAGTAGCCAATGTTTAACAACATTGTGCTTAAAAATTGAAGGAAATTTATCAGTAGTTCAAACTTAATCTATTACTTAAACATCTTTAACTTTTCCAATTTTTTAATTTGTTGAAGAATTACATTAATTGATTCAGTAGATGAAGGCATCTCTTATATATGTGTTGATTTCCCTCATTTCTCAGTAAAAAAGGAAAAAATGGTATGGATAATCTCTTCTTGCACAACTTATTTTGATTTGATAACTATTTCACAAAGCAAAAAATGAGAAAAAGAAATTAGACTAGATTTTATTCTATTCCCAAATAGTTGCAAACAGCCCTATATAAGAAAAAAAATGAAAAATATATACTTTCCAAATCATGCTAGTTTAAGCTCAAACCAAGCTCCTTTCACTTGATAAAATATTTCTATACTTGTTGAATTCTAATGTTCTTCAAGTAACAGAAACTAATGAAACTGTGGCTAGGATGAGAACTTTTATTAATTGCTTGAGTTCCAAACCAAGAAAAAAATATTTGAAAGGTTGAAAGCAAGCTAGATTGGAGAAACTTACATTTTTGAAAACAAGGTTCCTGAAAGAAAAGTATTTAGAGCTAGTTTCCTTGGTTATAACAATAGTGGTGTTTATTCAATTAATTCATTTAATTTTAAATCAAATTACTTAACATTAAATTAATTAACTTATGTTATTTTTTATTTTTATTAATCAAATCAAATTTATTAATATTAAAATTTTAATTGACCAAATTTAATTTGGTTAATTTTTAATTAAATAATAAAATATATTTAAATTAAATTATATTTTAAACTCTTAATTTCTCATATTTACAACAAATTAAATAAAATCAATCTAACAAAATATTCAAGCACCAAAGTATTATGCTAAAATCTCTAATAATTTATAAAATAAAACGATTCGTTTAGTGTATTTTTAATTTTATCTTTGAATCTCTTACATTTCTAATTAATTGAAAATTAAAATTTTTTTCAAAAATACTTTTCATAATTAATTAAAATTAATTCAATAATTGATAAATTAATCGAATTAAATTAGTTAAACTCTAACTACTAAGAATTGATTCTTATATGTGACGAAGTATTTGTTTGAATAAAGATTTGGTAAGTACAGACATTTCGAGGTTGGTGTGTAGCAGACAAAGCTTTTCATTTTTAATTTTATTTGTAAATTTAAAAGTTCCACCAAAACATATTATAATTTTTAGCTTCAATTAGTAATAGAAAATATTTTGGTTTATAAATATTAATTAGGATAACTTTGTTGAAGTAGACAAGTAGTGGTTTCATTCTTATGTGTTGATTTCAAGTTAAATATTGAATTTATGACTTGCTAACAATTTAATAAACCATTGTCTAGGGGTGTTTCTAGTCATGCATCATAGTTTTATCATATCATTCTAGGGTATGATTACCTTTGGAATGTATTGTAGCATATCCTATATAACAATGTCAAATTTCTAAGTGACTTGATGAGGTGAAACCATTGGCAAGGTTAAAGATTGCTTTTGTGGAGCTCTTTTTTTTTTTTTTTTTTTTTTTCTTTTTAAAGGGTTTGTCAAATGTGATACTTATCTTTTGCAATCAATAACCTCTTTCCCAAAATAATTTCTCTTTTGAGATGTATTATGACATTTATCTATTATAAAAAAAGTCAAATAAGTAACTCCACTTACGAAGGGATTGAACTAGAATATCATATATTATTATTTTTTTACTAAAATTACATGTGGTTGCAGGTTATGTTTTTATTATCTTGTATGGATTTTTCTTTCAATTCATATTTTTTTTGAGACCAAGGAATATCACACTTACAAAATTCTTCCAGTTAATTGTAAGATTTTTTTCCCCTAACACATATTTTTGAATCGTTATATTCAAGTGTTTCAAGTTTGTAGTGGAAAAATCTTTCATCAAATGATAATGCTCCAAGTTTGGTCATTAATTTCATATTTTTTAAAATTTTGCTTAATATATTGAAACAATTTTAATGTTATTGTATTAAACTTTGTGGTTATATACAGACTGAAACAAATTATGTATTTAGATATTTAAATATTTATAATATTTAGTTTATAAATTTCAATTTTTTATTTCTTTCAATACTTTTTTATTTAATTATAATAGTAAATATTAAAAAAATAAAAAAATAAATTTTATAATGTAGCACTAAAGAACCAAAATTAGTGGCATTTTATCTAAAAACGTTACTAAATTTAGCAGCATTTGTACTGAAAAACACCACTAAATTTAATGGCATTTAGCAGCATTTATATTGAAAAATATTGCTAAATTTAGTGACATTTTTAGATAGAAACATAGCTAAGTTGACGGTATTTTTTCTTAAAACGTCGCTATATTCCCTGATGTAAGTATAGGCGGCACTCTTAGTGGTGTTTTTGAAAAACATCGCAATTTATTTAGCAATGTTTGCTAAACATTAAAAAAAAAACATCGCTAAATACTTGTGCCCTTGTAGTAAATAATTTGGTAAGATTTATAAAAAATTCTAAACTCATAAAAATCCTCCAATAATTTGGTAGAACTCATAAATCTATTTTAAAAACCCTTTTTTTTTTTAAGAAAAAAATCAATTGAAATAAATAGGATTGAAATAAATAAAATAAATAAATAAATAATGAAAAGAAAAAAAATTACCAAAAATGGATTGGCTTGGCTCCAACAATTGAAAGGAGCTCGGTTGTAGACATAAAAGAGCGGCTTAACTTGGCGACTTAGTTGATTTAGCAGGTCGACTTCAATGACTGAAAGGAAATGGGTTAGTGAGTAATATGCTGAGGGACGAATCTAGAAATGTGAAAAAACACAAGGATCCTAAGTAGGCTTTGGGACTCAAAATAGTGCCGTTTAACACCAATATGAAGCCAAAAAATCCTTTGTTTTTATCAAAATTGGTTTCTCTTCTCTCTCTCTAGGATTAATTCTCTCCAACCTCTCTCTAAATCTATTGTGAGATTTAAGAACACTAGCCAAAATCTCATATTCCAGCACCGTGAAATTCAACCAAAACCTAAAAACCTAGAAAAAACAAAATCCGACTGTCACAAAAACCCACTAGCCACCATGAACCTTGCTAAAATCTTCAAATTTTCATTGAAAAATTGAACAAAAAACCTAGAAAATCTCCCAAAAACCCATAAATTCAATCTAAACCAAGGAAAATCAAAATTTTCCAACAATTCAAAAATTCCAAAAATCCTAACCAATTTTAGAAATTCAACATCAATCCAAACCCAAGAATCAAATCCAACAATCCTAGGAACTTCCAAAATTCAAACCAAAACACCAAACCCACAAATCAAATGAAAACCTAAAAAATTTTCAGCATTTCCAAAAATCAAATTAAAATTCCTCAACCTAGAACTACTTTCAAAACATCAAGAATTGAATCCCAAAACCAATTTCAAGAACTTCAAAATTAAAAACCTAGAAACCAAGAACCCAAAACCTCAAACCCTCCAAACTTCTTAAGTTTTAACTGCTAATTGCTTTTTGTGTGATTTTTGTCTTAATTATTGTGTTTTCTCCCCCATTGTGTTTGGTTGATTGGGGTTTATATAGGGCTTTTTGCTAGAAATTTTAGGGATTTGCATTGAATAGAAATGATTGCAAATATGATTATACCCTAAATTGATTTTCTTCTTGATTCTATTTAAAACCGGTTTAATTAATTTTTGAAATTATCTCGATTTTCTTTGATTTCTCTCAAAATTTCCCAAATTCAATTTGACTTTGATTCTTTGATTTGATTTCTTTTCAACCTTTCTTTGATCTTTTAAGAAATTATGTTTTAGCTTTAATAGCTAAGATCATCCTTGATTATTGCTCAAATTACTCCACAATTTTCATTGATATGATTTATGATAAAAATTTGAAACCAGATAAATAAAAGATAAAAACATAAAAGAGATAAATAAATAACTAAATAAGACAATCAAGATGTAGGAAATTAAACAATTGGGCTTGGATCAGATTTAGGCCGAATTGATTTGGATTTCAGACTAAATATGATATTTACAATAATCTAAAAAATATATGAATAATTTTTTTTACAAGTAAATAAAGATATGAGGTGTCATAAACTATTTTAAAATCATAAAATAAGAGTTTTATAATTATAATTATTATTTTTATAGTAAATTATGTAAAATTAAAAAAAAAAAACATAATCGACATGAATGACTGGCTAGTCTCTCTTATGTCATTAATCGTAATAAATTCAAAGTGACTAAAACACTAGTGTGACCGCAATTAAATATAAAATCAGGAATAGATTACTCTTCCAGCAACTTCCTTCTTCCACGTATAATAGCTAGTTGCCTTGTTCTTCTAGCAACTGCTTTTGATCTTTCTCTCCAAAGCTGAAGTTCTTTAACCATTTGCACTGCTTCGCTAAATGCCTATGGTGTTAGAATTTCTGTATCACATTAAATAGCACTATGTCTCTTACAACAAGCATGGTGTATGGGCACGGTTAGCACTCTTTATGAAGGTCCCCTTAGCTCAAAGTTATACATCGGGCCCAAACCACTGTTTAAGTTGGTCTTTACTTTCAAAGGTCAACATGTTCTTAATTAAGATTTAAGATCATATAATTAACCTACAGTCTTTTAATCACAATATTTGTATTGGGCTAAAAATTAATTAGAGCTTAAATGGCTAAATTGCTTAGCCCATTCCTTTGGTTATTTCGTTGTGAACGTTGAGCTGATAAGAGTACTCCTGTCTCGTTTGAATTATAGATGGATAAGTCCATAAAGGAAAATAAAGTTTACATATGAGGGTCAAGCCTTAGGATTAAAGTGCTTGGAAATTCTCTGTTGGATGTACAATCAATTAATGCATAGAAGCAAGCAACAAGTGGAAAAATTAGAAATAAAGATATTATAATCAGAGGGTGGGAGCTCTTTCAGCAGTTCCTGCAATGACTGTGAGCAAGTTGTTGCCAAAAGGATCGCTGAGGTGTTTTGCAAGGTTCTCAACGGGACCTTCACCAGTGACATAAGCTTGGAAGTAGAAACCCAGCATGGCGAACATTGCGAGTCTACCATTTTTGATCTCCTTGACTTTGAGCAGAGCAGCCTGGTCAGGATCCTTGGCAAGCCCAAGTGGGTCAAATGGACCACCAGGGTGAAGCTTGTCCTCCAAATCCTATGTTATGTCATGGATCAAGGAATTGGAGATTAATTAATAATAATAATAATAATAATAATGTTTGTTTTTGTTAATAAATTATTAATTGTAGCAAGAGTACTGGAAAGGCGCGCATATGTACCAGGCCATTAATAATTCTGTAATATTCAGCACCACCAACAAGAATGATCTCGGCAATGACAGCAACCACAAGGTTGATTGGAATATTCTTCCCAAAGTAATTCAAGGTGTTACCGTCCAGGAGAAGAGCTCCAGTCTGTCACCAACACAGTTATTAATATATATATATATATATATGTGTGTGTGTGTGTGTGTATTTGAAATTTAATGAAAAAATAATGCTAACCTTGAACCAAACAGCTTCAGGGCCGCAGTTGGCACCAAATTTGTTAAAGGCTTCAGGGATGATGAATCCAGCAGCACCAAGCATCGCCCACCTAGCGTGTATCAACTCATACGCTTGATATCTGCATTCAAATATATAAATATATATTTTCACCCCGTAATTAATTAATTAAAGCAATTAAAGTAGTATTGCAGCCAAGATCAATGCATATTCCACTAGACGAATATACAATTCAGTCATTTTTCTAAAAGAACAAAAAATATTTTATATATATATATATATATATATATATATAACTTACTTCGCAAAGTCTTCTGGCTTCTTGCTCAGACCAAACGGATCGTATCCATAGCTACATGAAATGAATGCACATAAAAGCAAAGCAACACCACCTTAATTAGGTCATCTTAAATTAATGCACTCGTATTTACAATTCATATAGTTAACTTAATTATACTCACTCTCCAGGAACTTCCCCTGTCAAGTACTCTGGGATCTCTGATCTGTCTAACAGCCCTTCTGGTAAGAAAATCCTCCTGTCAGGACCTGGTAAATGCTTCAAATTTAGTCAAAAAGAACAATTTGCTTATATATATGAATATATTCATCCAACAAAATGAAAAAGAATATGCATCAAGTTCAAAATCTATTCAATTTGTTTGGTTCCAGCTAGCACTCCACTGCACTTACCGTACCACTTAGCCAGCTCTTCATCGGCTGGAGAGACAGAAGCAACCTTGGACTTTGGAGGAGGCGCAGCCTTCTTCTTGGAGAAAAGAGCCACTATCTTGAAAGTGGCAGGGTTTGTTGCTGTTGGAGCCGATGACCTTGCCCCACCACTGAAATTCATAGGGTTTCCCAGCATTTCAGATACGCCGAGGGAGGCAGCAGCAGTGAAGGCTGCCAATGAGGCCATTCTGGAGGAGTCTGACTCTAATTAGGTGCCGCTGCTGCAGCTGGGTTTTGTTTACAACTAACTCAGAACACTAGTCAGTAATACGCTACTCTAGTACCTGTGGGGAATGGAGATTGATACTATAAGCTTGAGCTAGTGGATGTGGACATGCCGCAGAGGATTGTGGTTCACGTGTTTTCATTGGTTGGCTGTGGAACATGAGAAATCTGATGCTGGAATTTGATAGGATGGCCTTGCTTATGTGGCAGATATGATGCTGACGTGTAATGAATGCTCCTGCTCTTTGTAGATTGCTTGGTTAGGTTTTGGATAACGAATAACATGTCCAATCTGATGTCAAAATGTTACGCATGTGCATTTGCATCTGCATTTGCATTTGCATTAGCATCTCCTCTCAGTCTCAGCTAAGGCTCACCTTTTTTGTGTGGATGAGTGGTGAACAGTGCCGAAAACCCGACTAATCCAATTATATTATGCAATAACTTCTCCCTTAGACTGCACATAGCTTATAGTCTCCAATGAGTTTTAGCTCAGCTCTTCAAATCAAAATCAAATTAACACCACTTATCACCTCTTATTTAATGAAGGATCTCGATCAGTGAACCTATAATCACAATAACTATTCCTTTATGATATTAAGAGTAATTTATAATAAAATAATATATGATCTTTTGGTTGGTTGCTAATCGTTGCTTAATCTAAATGTGGCTTTAGGTGTTTGAAGTTTATGTGAAGACAAAAATATTCTTATCTCCTTTCATCATTTTAGTTCTAATAAAATATTACGATAGAGTTAAGATTTGCAGAAACAACTTTTAGGCAGAGTTATGGTTGTTTAGGATTTGACTGATTGGCTGTAATTCACCCAATAGAAAATCAAGGGTGTCAGCTATTATGAAGATTAAAATCCTCCTAAAACTTTATTGTATCATATATAATAGAATTTTTCTATAAAGTTAGGATTTACTTGAATTACTTTAAATATAGGTATCCTAATTAATAAAATTTTGAAATAAAATAAAAATAATGCAGAGTAAGTTGTTCAATATTGCTGCTCCTTGATCTGCAAATTCTGCCAGTTTTGCTAACTTATCAGTATATCTATTACCTCCGTGAAGGACATGTCTTGCCACAACCTTTAGCAAGGAAGCTAAATGTCCTCTGCAATCCTCTGATAACGGGCCTAACTGATGACTTGTATCTACATTTGTCAGGGAAAATGAAACCACCACGGCTGCACTTCTAAATCAAGTTCTCTTAACCTTGCTCTCTAGTCATTCTTAAACCCTCCCTAACTCCCCAAGGTTCAGCCTGCAAGGTGTTTGTACCCTCGCTATTGCTCATTAACTCTCTAGTTCATCATTTGGAAATAAACCACCTACTGAAGCATTCTCTACCATTTTTTTCTTTTTTGTTGAAACTAAATTTCTCTTTGATTTTATAAACACAAAACAACAAATCTTTTACTATGACTTTTATTATGCTTGAAATTAAATTAACGCTCACACACAAGTATAAGTGGCCAACAAATAATAAAGTGTAAGTTAAGTATCATTTTCATGGAGATTTGTAATAATTTCTTTTAAGTATTAAAATTGTGTGAATCTAATTTTATCCAAACAACCGAAAAAAAATTAATTAAAGGAAAAAAAATTAAAAAATAAAAGTAAGTAAAAATTTAAAAATAAAACTAAAGGAAATAAATAAGCGAGAAAAATTCCTAAATTCTAATATTTTAATTTCACTCTACTACTTCACTTGAATTAGTCCCTTTTCTTTGATTAAATTCATTAATTAAATTGTTAACTAAAAGCACTAATTTATCTACAACCTCTTTATAGTAATATGAATATATCCTTCCTAGATAATCCCTATATTTATGTAGTGGTTAATCTAATAATGATTCATCAAGTAAAAACTCTCTTTAACAATTATAAACACTTATTTTATCCGAAAAATTGAATATTGCATCTAAATAAATTCAAATCGATTTTTGATTCTATTTGAGTATGGTCAAATACCTTAATTGAATATATCGAGTTAATTTTGTATTGGGTTATTTTAAATTTTAAAAATTCTAGCACAAAAAAATCCAAAAAAAAAAATCGAGAATATTTTCTTTGATTTAGGGTGTTGGGAATTTTTTTTGAAAAAAACTAATTTGAGAAAAGTATTTGGGAGACAAAAAGGATTAACTTGGGATTTTTTTGAAAATGTTTTGATCACCAACATCTGAAAAAACTTGAATTTTTGGGTGACCAATTGAATTTTTTGGTCATCGAAATATGGGAATTGGGCCTGAATCTAGGAATGGTTTGAATTTTTTGGCACCTATTAAAGTTTCCAGCGACAACTTGTCGAAAATTAGGTAGTTGCAGTGGCCAGTGAAGGGTTGGTTTCTTTTAGAGAGAGAGTTTTTAGGGTAGTGAGAGATGGGCAAGGAAAAAGTAAAAAAAAAATGATTTTAGCCTTTTAAAGGCCCTTCAAAATGATGCCATTTTGGCATCTAACCCATGTTTGACTTGCGCCAAGATTCGTGTGAACCGATTAGAAATTTGACCTATTTGGTAAGTTTTCTCTTTTTTTTTTTTTATTTTCTATTTTACTTTTTGCTTTTATTTATTTTATGTTGATTTTTTAATGATATTATTGTTGTTGTTATTGTTGTTGTTATTGTTGTTGTTGTTGTTGTTATTATTATTATTATTATATTATTATTATTATTATTATTATTATTATTATCATTATTCATTCTTTTAGAAATGAGTAAAAAAAATAGAATTAAAATAAAATGTAGATTTGGTAAAATAAAAAAGGAATAAATCAAAAATAAAATAAAATAAAATAAAATAATAAACAATAAATAATAAATTATTATTAAGGAAAATTGAAATTTTGTTATAAGTAAAATATTACTTAAATTTCACCAAAGTGTTGGGATAATTTAAGAAATATTTTTTGCTAAAAAAAAAAAAATAAAACTAATGAATTGTTTACATTAATTTTTTAAATGTAATTTTTAAAGAAAACTAAAAGAGTTTGGTTTTCATTAATTATTGCAAGTAAAAATATTTTTAGGATTTCACCAAAAGTTAGGATAATTTAAAAATTATTTTTACTAGAATAAAGATTTATTTAAATAATATAAAAAACAAAAAACCAAAAAAAAATAAAATGATTGTTTAGATGAATTTCTTAATTATTACAAAATTTTTTTTTTTGATTTCACAAAAGAGTTGGGATAATCAAGAAAAAAATTAATTAAAAAAATTATTCTCACTAAATAAGAAATTCTTTAAATAATAAGAAAAATTATGGAAATAAAAATAATGAATACTAAATAATAAATAATAAATTAAAAAATGAATTGTTTAATTAAATCCCTTGAACAAGAATTTACAAAAATTGGAAGTTTCATTTTTCTTAATTATCACCAAGAGAAAGGAATTTTTTAGGATCTCGCAAAAAAGTTGGGATGATCCTAAAATTAGCTTAAAAATTTTTAGGATTTTGTCAAAAAATTGAGATAATTATAAAATTAGTTTGAGAAATGATTTTTGGATTTCACCATAGAGTCAGGATGATCTTAAAATCAGTTTTAATAAATAAATAAAATATCCTATGATAAAATTTTGAAAATTTTGTGAGTGGTCAAATTTTTTTGAAAAGTTTTTGAATAAAGATTTTCTATAATTTTTGCCAAAATATTGGAGAATTCATAGAATAAAATAATAATAATAATAATAATTTCACAACAAAAAATGTTTTTCATGAATAAATTTTAGGAAATTAATTTTAAATATAAAGAAGACCATATCATCAAAATTAACGGATAACATATGTTTAATCGGTACAATTATTTGAACGAGAAATGTAAGGGTGCTAATACTTTTTTCACTCGTAACTGTACTCCCGAATCCAACCTTAATTTCATAAACCTAAGCCTCTTTTAGTAAATTTTAATTAATTTTAAGATTTTTATTAAAAGATGATGTTTTTGGATGGCTAATCACACCCTATAAAAAAGATTGATGGCAACTCCAAAAATTTTCATTAAATCTAGCGATTGAGTCCCCTAGACGAAAAATTATAAGGATAGCTTGGTGATTTCACTAGAGAGGCTAGAGAGTCAAGCCAAAAATTAAGCATGTGTCATCCAAACTTTGATTTTGTGGTCTTTTTGATGTTTAATTTTAATTCCTTATCTCATTTTAGAATAAAAATAAGATTAAAAAAATAATTTAAAAAAAAGTAAAAATTTGAAGGTTTCATTTAATTTTATTATGTTATTTTACGTGTCTTATATTGTTGCTAATTATATTGTTGGTTTTATTTCGATTAATAATTGTTACGTTCCTTTACACTCATACACATTTGCATTCATGCATGAGCTTTATACCCAGTCTTTGAAATTTATCCTTTTTTAGGAAGGAGTAGAATACCTACTCTTTTGTAAGGTTATAATGGCTCCGGTTGGGCTAGCGAAATATTTATACTCAAGTTAAACCTTTTCCATTGGCAACTTATTATGGGTAAGGATCAGGTGCCTTACTAGTCTAGAGTGGAAGACAGTGAGGCTTTACAAGCATTCGACAATCATTCTCTCTTTGTTTTCAAGCTTTCACTTCTTGTTCTTTTAGATCTAGTTTTTGACTACTCTCTTTTACTTCCCAAGTGATAGTTTGTGAAGTTAAGATCTAAGCCTACACTATTTTTCAATATTTCTTTTTTCTTTTTTATTTTGCAAACAACCCTAATCTTTCATTTGTTTACATATATGAATATAAGATTTTACCATTGGTAATTGTGAACTACCCAACATTTACAATCTGTAATCCCTTGAAAGATGATACTAGAATACTTTCATTATTATTACTTGATTTGTGCACTTTCAGGCTATACGAAAAGTAGCAATTAAGTTTTTGGCACCGTTATCGAAGATTATAATGGTGTTGTCAATATCAATAAGGATTTCTTAAATTCTTATAATTGAAACCCTTTTTCTTTTATTTACTTTTACTTTTCTTTTCTTTGATCGTTTTTATTTGCATGCTCAAATCCAAAAGTGTTGACTTAGTCTAGTTGATCAAGAAATTGAAAAAATATTCAAAAGAAGAAGAAAAGAGCAATTAGCACCAACACTAATTACTATTACAAATAATGAGTAGTAAAGAATCTTAAGGGACTATACTGTTCCTAATTCTGATGGTTTCAACCATGCATCCATTAGAAGGTCAGTTATTTAAGCCAAAAACTTTGACATCAAGCCTTTAATTATACAAATGGTCCAAACCTCTATGTAGTTTAGAGGGCTACCAAGTAATGATCCTAATCTTCACCCTTCTAATCTTCTTAAATTATGTGATACTTTTTGCTATAATGGTGTTTCTAATAAA